AATCAAACAACATTACCCTTTTTACGTCATTGGCCACTGCTGATGAAGGTTATGTAATATTGTATGCCAAATATTCAATCGTTCGTATACCATCCTCCCAAATTGCCATAAAGAAATCTAATTCCTCTTCAATTTCCTTCTCTTTAATTTCTTCTTTAATTTCTTTCTCATCAATTCCATTAATTCCTTCCTCTTTAATAATTCCTTTCTCATTAATTTCTTCCTTTTCAATTTCTTGTAAATTATTTCCATCCATTGGAATCCATTTAATCTCTTTAGCTTCTGTTAAATTATCGTAAGGAATCCACTCAATAACCTTATCGTATTCCACGGCTTTAAGTTGAAAACCTTCGATGCAGTTATTAATTTCATCGTTATCACTTAATGATTTATCATGATTTGCCTTGGAAGGATCACACGATTGACACCATTCTGGATTGGTATTATGTCGTTCACAATGTTTACACTTTCCATAGATGGAATTTCTTTTGTTGTAATAATAATTAAGAACAATCATGTATTGTTTAGGTTCAACATCCTGAGTTATTCCATATATTTTATATTTTTCTCTTTCGCCCTCTTTTTGCATCATTTCCTTAAGCTTACAAGGTATATGTGTCATTTAATGATCTTACATGATTCAGTGCAGTAAATTAATAACATAGTGAACAATTTAACTTACCTTCTTTATGAAATTCAAAGGGTTTGTTTGAGTGCTGTGCAATTTTATGAGATCAACACGTGATTTAATAATGCGTGACCGTGTATATCTTCCAGATTCATATTTAATTGTTCGTATACCATCCTTCCAAGTTGCCATAAAAAAGTCTAATTCCTCTTCAATTTCTTGTAAATTATTTCCATCCATTGGAACCCATTTAATCTTTTTAGGTTTTGTTAAATTATCGTAAGGAATCCATTCAATAACTTCATCGTATTCCTTAGCTTCACGTTGAAACTTTTTGATTTCTTCATCAATGTTGTTATCACTACTTGTCCATCCTTGAGTTTCTTTCTCAGGATCACAACCTATGCACCAAACTCGGAAATCATTGTATTGTTTACATTGTCCACATTTTCCGTATTTTCCGTATTTTCCGCGAATACTATATCTTTTATGATAAAATAACATATATTGAACTTGCATTAGTTCATTCGTCTTTGTAAGTTTTTAAACTTGTGAAAATTTAAAAGAATCAAATGTAATAGCTGCAATATTAGTATTTAAATGATGAAATGCGCCTTATTTTTAATGACGAATTGCTGCCAACATGATTTGTAAAAACATTTAAATCGACTTACTCCCTATTAAATATACATCATTGATTAAAGCTAAAATGACATTTTAATGAAATGTTGATTTTGCAATGAAAGTTTATACTCACAAGCTAGAATGTTATTATTCATATAATCGATTAGATGAAATAATTATTAAATACTAAATTTATAAACCGAACTTTAATACTTACTCCCTTTAATGTGTGTATAATTTATTATGGTAAGGTAACTTAGAATTTAGCATTTAGGTTCTAATAAATGAATAATAAAAATTTTATGCTAACCTCCTAATAATTTATTTGATTAGGACAAAATCAATGTAGTGAAAAATGCCGATTTTAAAAAACAAAGCAAATAAATTTACACTCACTTAAAAATACGCAACATTACTTTTTTGTATATACATCTAATTATTATCATGAAAATTTTAAGGCAAGAAGTGCCTAATAAGAGAAATGGCACTAAGCTATATTTCACGATGGAGTTGTAGTAAAAGACCTTAAGGTATTTAAATAGAAAAGCAAATGAATTAATAAAAACTAAAAAGTTTTACACATAAATATAAAAATTAGTTCTCACTTGAATAACGATCTGTGGAATATTTCTAAGAAAAATGTC